GCGTTCGATTTCGAGGCTGACGCGTAAAAGGTTTCTGGAGGAACTGTCCCCGGGGGAGTCGGTTGGTGACGCACGGGCTTGTTATTGCTGCTGCTACCGCTGTTATTATCCATGCTGTTGTGCGCCGAATATGATGGTAAAGATGTCGAGATTCAACTTGTCAAGGAGAAGCCCTGCAGCACGAATAACACGATAAGATAAGCTTTGTCGTTGTGCGGGCTAACCAAGACTCGCACTGGTTGCTCAGATATGAATCATGCAGATTCTGACGCCCAATTGTGATCTCAGTGACGAGAGATGAAATCGAGTAGACCAAGTACGCGTATGATTATGTAATACAACCCCCCGACCTTTATGTGGATGTGCAGAGATATAAGATAAAAGGAAGCAGCGACCGCCTCATTAATATTACTTGATGGGGGAGCATAAATGTAAAACCTTCATACGTACTCATTCCCTCAGTTTCATGCTGATACTTGCCAGCTGGAAATACTATGGTGTACGGAGCAATATTAGCGAGGAAGGCGGCGGGTTACTGTGCATGGGGAATACATTCTGCCAGCGTACATGCGACTCGCACTTGACGATGATGGGTTTAAAATGTCACGTATTTGGTTGGGAAAGGTGGAATAGTGTGATTGAAATAAGGTTTCGATACCTCAGCTTACATTCGATTGCAAGAACGGGTTTCGAAACTTGATCGTCGTAGGACTTCTATATAGATCTACTTGATATCTGCTGCTCATAATTTATACACCTGACAAAGAAATACTTCAAGGAAATGATAGCTTGTTGGATAGCACGGTCACTTACCTGGTCTTTGGTGTAACCAAGTTCCTTGAGAACACCATTTAGTTCTCCCTGCTCCCTGCCTTTCTTTGCGCCTGCAATCGAGGTAACCTGTCCAGGCGGACCTATGGGGCATTTAGTTATTGGCGCATTCCAAATGTGTTGTGCATACCGCAGATGAAGACCTTCACTTTCTCGCCCAGTGATGATGGAGCAATGTGCTGCTTAATGAGGTCAGCGCTGATATATCCAGTGGGACCCTTCCAGTTAGTATCGCCCTTGTCGAGGACATATACGACATCGAAAGTTTCGGGGTACTTTTTCTTCATGGCGTCGAACTCCTCGCGAAGCATGATATCTTGCTCAGTAACATTAGCGTACAAAAGTTTGAACTTCGTCTTGTTCGTCTTGTCCGCAAGAGCATGTTGTAGGATCTGGTAGAGTGGAGCACTGTGATTGCGGAGTAAAGTCAGTAATGTAAGTATAAAGACCGACATCCTTACATTCCACTTCCACCACCAATGAGGCCGACTTCTTCCAGCTCATTCACTGAAAGAGAATTAGAATCCAGGCATCTTAAAGTAATCAAAAAAACCCATAATCACTCTTCCAAGGCCATTTTGGCAGAGGACCTTTAATTCTGAGAGTGTCCCCAGCCTTGAGAGAGTGAATGTGTTTGGAGACCTTGCCTGTCTCATATTTTTTGATGATAAAAGTGAGCTCTCCCTCCAAATCAGACGCTGAAATGGGGGTATACGGGCGACACATAGGTTGACCCTTGTCATCCTTGAAATCAGGAGTTTCGATGTAAACACAGGAAGCAATCGGAAGAAGCGAAGCCTCGCCCTTTTCGAGCTCAAGCACAAACCTGAGGGACATATATGAGCGTGGGGTTGTACGTAAAAGGTAGCCTAAGGTCTCACTTAGAGGTGTTGTGATTGCAAGGCTCCACCTTTTTCAGTTTGAGGTCAATGAATTTTGACGGGTCAAGAGGACTCTTCAGGTCCTTCTTGGCAGTTACTGCCTCCCCTTTGCCAAAGCCCATGTACACATACGTGCCGAGACCTACAAGACCAGCGCCACCAAGGTAAAATCCGAGGTTGGATGATTTTTTAGCACCAGCTTCGGTCGAATAACGTCTACAGCTGCTCGTTGCCTAATACACACACATGAGACTAAGACTAAGACAATTTTATAATTGCTCACCACAGAACGGGCGAGCGTCGCTGCTCGGATGAAGGACATGATAGTTTGGTGGATGAAATGATCGTCACGGTTGTCTCGGGCAAATTCGGTCTGAGCCTGAGAATCGATGTTGTCAGAACAAGCTCATGCCAGACGGGCGCGCGACGGGGTTTCGTAAAACCACTAGCGTTCAAGCTGTGCGACCTATTCCTGGCAACTGACCGATTCCTGCCGTTTTGCACCTCGTGTATTGCTTCGAATTCAGCGGATCGATCTCAACTTTTCTGATCGCTACTTGTATTCCTGGAAGCCCCCGGTCACTGACCACTTGCACCAGTCACTATCCACATTATTTGCATTATTAAATCCATTGACTTTTGACTCCAAATATTTCTAAGATCTGAAGGATCCGAGGAGGTCATTCTCCGCAGCGTGGAATCGAGACTCTGGAGAGCTCTAGAAGCCTAGGGCGTCACGGGACCCCTGGCAGTAGCAGTTCCACATCCAATCATATCCTAGATTGAGATTCAGTGGTCAGCATTGTCATCACTATCTAACATCTCTCTCTCCCTCCTCGTTCATCGGGTCAACAAACACACTTGTGTAAACCTTTCTACTGACCGCCGAATCCCTTTTTATCTTTTCATCTACCTCGGTTCAACCCTACGCCAGCCAGTCTGTGCCATGTCTTTTGTCAAGCTAAGCATATTTGGCACCTCTTTCGAGGTGTGTTGCCTGTGTATGTCCTTGAAAATAATTGATTCACGATTTGCTGATTTCATAGGTCACTACTCGCTATGTCGATCTGCAGCCTGTTGGAATGGGTGAGTATCAACCATCCTCTCGATCTGTTCGATGTCCAAACTCTAGACTAACCGAGATGTGTAGGGGCATTTGGCCTTGTCTGGTATGTTGCAAGTTTGAGATAGACACATGCACTCATAGGCGGTCTAGCTCTTCTAAGGATCAACTCACTGGGTCTTCTGTTGCCATCAAGAAGATTATGAAGCCCTTCAGTACCCCAGTTTTGAGCAAGCGGACATATCGTGAGCTCAAGCTCCTCAAGCACATACAACACGAGAATGTACGTCTCAGACGCGCCACATAGAATTGCCTGCTCACACATGTACTATCTACACGTGTAGATCATCAGTCTTAGTGATGTGTTCATCTCGCCACTTGAAGATTTGTATGTCCCTGCTCCAAACCCTAAACCCTTAAAGTGATTGATTATCACAGGTATTTCGTTACCGAACTCCTTGGAACCGACCTTCATCGACTACTGACGTCGCGACCTCTGGAGAAACAGTTTGTCCAATACTTCCTATATCAGATTCTGGTACGTGATGATGTTGTAACTCTTTGTCCATCGGTCTGATCTGATCTAGCGTGGACTAAAATATGTTCACTCCGCGGGCGTCGTGCACCGAGACCTCGTGAGTCTTTTGTTCTGTCTACATCTGTGATCAGTTTTGAGACAGGCCCACAGAAACCTAGTAATATTCTTGTCAACGAGAACTGTGACTTGAAGGTTCGTCAGGTTCATCACATCATCATACTTATGATGTCATCGCTTCTATAGATATGCGATTTCGGATTAGCCCGTATCCAGGACCCCCAAATGACAGGCTATGTCTCGACGCGATATTACCGTGCCCCTGAAATTATGTTAACCTGGCAAAAGTACGATGTTGCTGTCGACATTTGGAGTACAGGTTGCATATTTGCTGAGATGCTCGAAGGAAAACCCTTGTTCCCCGGGAAAGACCGTGAGCGTCTACGCGCCTTCATTCTCACCTTCTGACGTCGTGCCTTCGTTTCAAGATGTCAATCAGTTTTCCATCATTACTGAACTATTAGGCACTCCTCCAGATGATGTCATCGAAACTATCGCAAGCGAAAACGTGGGTGATACCTCTAAGCTATGGGCTAGGTATTCCCATTCTCACATTGATCGATCGCTGTAGACTCTCCGCTTTGTGCAAAGTCTGCCCAAACGCGAGCGCGTGCCTTTCAGCCAAAAACTCCGAACCACCGATGCGGACGGTATGGCACCATTCTGGCTCCTGGTGACGTACTTGTACTAATGCTCCACCACAGCTTTGGATCTTCTAGAAAAGATGCTAGTGTTTGACCCTCGGAAACGCATAGATGCTGCGGAGTCACTTGCTCATGAATATGTGGCACCATATCATGATCCAACCGATGAGCCCGTAGCTTCTGAGAAATTCGACTGGAGCTTCAATGATGCCGACCTCCCTGTTGACACGTGGAAGGTCATGATGTACAGCGAGATTCTGGGTTAGGGTTTCTGCCACATTCAGTTGTCACAGCGCTTACGGTATCTTCGGTGCGTTTCTAGATTTCCATCAGGTTGGGGACACGTCTACATCAGCGAGCGGTATACCCGAAGGTGCACTAGCAGGACCAGACGCACCAGCAGGAACTACACCAGCAAAGTGAATCTTCCCATAGTCCCATATTGTTTTCAGCCGGATGTCTGTTTTGACGCGATCCTTATACGCAATATCTTTTTGTTACTGTTGCATTGAAGGAGTACAGGTTTTGGAGTGCCTTCGCTTTCCGGACACGAATCGTTCACTACTACTATCTCTTTCAGAACCAATCACTTGTAATGTCTTCAATTTTACATAATGAGCAAGCAGGATTGTATGTACCAATCAATATCTTTTCGAATACACCCACAGATAGAACTACTCACAAGTCGGGTAGTATTGTTGTAGGTCCTTGAACATGAACCGCAGTCATTCGTGTGGTTGTTGAATATATACTACTAGAACAACCTTGGTTTAGAGCAGACCCACTTTCGCAAGTTTGCAAGGTAAACTGAAATAGGACTTCCTGATAAGACCGCTACATCCTATCAGTGCGTGAACAGTACTTGTATGTCACGTAGACGGTATTAGGAAGAGTTCCCCTTTTTAGGTTTCAAGTTGTTACAAACTCGGCCCGCTTCTTTCAGCAAACACCAGACTGAGTATCGGACTCACGAAAGCGTGACAAGGATGCCACCTCGTCGTAGACCGACCGCGTTCGAGATAACATATCCAGGTGAAGTGCAAGATGAATCCGGGAGTGGTACAGATGGGGGGAATAATCGCCGGCGTCAGCGCGATGACGCAGATGACTATCATGACTCAGTGCGTGTCATGATTCGTTGAGATCGCGAAAGCGTACGTTTGATAGTAACTGTCCTCTCCATCTTACAGCGCTTAAAACGTCAGAAGACGAACGAACGTCCTCGAGCACGTGTGTTGGCATCCATTTCCGCTGAAATCTGATTGACTTACAATGCACCGTCCCAGCGAGATATTATCAACCGGAAAACAATGAACTATTGGAGACTGAAGACCTTCTCATTGTTGGCGAAGATCCAGGCGCGCTAGACGATGGGCAGAAACCTACCCGGATCCTACATAACTTTGCGTTTTTCGACCCTACTCGTGACCTGGTCATGGTTTCCCTTTCTTATCTCGATAAGCACCGCGAGAATGATGATCATATGTTTGAGGGTGCAGGTGAGGTTACTTCAGTGCCAGAGAACGATGAAGATGAGGGCCAGGAAGACGACCTTGAAGACGACGATCCCCAGTTTATTCGCATCACAAATATCCTCGGTTATTCTATCGACTACACCGAAGATGAAGAGTAGGTGCTCTTCTTTTTTGGATTTACTCAATAATATACGCCTATTGTGTACAGTCCAATGTACATTGAATCCGGCCACGCTCGGTATCGTCTGGGTGCTCCATCAAAGGATTACCGACGGGAGTTCAGAGCATTCTTCCTACCGCACCGTGTCGTTCAAGCGATTGTGTCGTCCGTCATACGGGAACCGGATATGCAATATCATGACTTTCTGGCCAGTTTTTCAACCATAGAGATTGGCAATATTCGACTTGGCGAGCAATATCTTTGGGACAGTGTGAGAATTTTTTCGGTTGTTACCAGATTTCACTGCAACGTGTCGTAGGTTGCTGAACTGAGATATGCGCTCGAGGGTCTAGAAAATTCTCAACAACTGCGTGCCACGAATATAATCCGACACCTTTTGACAGAGCCTGCGCCTCTGATATTGAGATCCGTTGAACCACGTCCTCGGCTACGAGTTCCGCCAGCAGCAGTGATTACTACCAGGGGAAGCAAAGATATCGCCGTCCTTCGTCCAGAAAATCAGAATGCGACGCATGTAACCCCGCGAATTGCAAAGTTAGCGACCGGGTGGTTTAGAGAACAGCTAGTGGTTGTCGGTCCACAACCTCGTGTTGAACCTGGGATCCCGTATGATGACCTTCGGAAGAGGGTAACGGAATTTGTGCAGCGAGTATCTATGCGGAGGGAAATTCGATTCCGTCCCGTGGAACAACGCGTTCATCCAGGTTCACGCTGGCTCAAGTACATCACAATAGATGGCAATGATTATGCAGTATGGTATTGTCAATTCCTATCGTGTCTAGCTTCACATTGCTTGTAGGTTGGAGATACCATTGTTGTTGCCATTGGGAACGATGACCAGAAGAGGCCTCCCGAATTGCCGGACCCAGAAGATATACCAAAATATGCAACCCTGGCAGACTACTTTTGGTATGCTCCTAGCACTGATCCGTTTCACTCACCGACTCCCTTTCTTCAGGTTCGGAAAAATTATGTATATCAGTGACGAGTTTGAAAATGTTCATGTCGAATGGTTCGAGCACAGCACGAAAACGGCTATGGAGCAGCTTGGACATCCCCAAGAATTGTTTCTGACCAATACATGCAGCACTGTCGAATTCGACCTTATCGTCGGAAAAGTTCCGGTCCAGTTCGTCAATCCTTCAAAAGACATGCCTGTCGTTGGGCCTTATAACTTTTTCTACAAGTCATGCACCTTCCACAACTTTTGAGAACCTCGCTGATATTTCTGCCTGAAGGTTCATATATAACAGCCTTGATGGCTCATTCACTGAAATACCACAAGAACGACTGCAACACAAACGGGAAGAGCTCCCGTCCGACCACTGCCCTGTGTGCTTAATGGTTGACGAGGGAGAGGAAGCACTCGTTCCCCACAAGATTCACCGCGGCTTTGCATGGAAAGACACTAAATATCATCTTCGTGACATTGTTATGATCAAGGCTCAGGAGGGACTGTGTCATATCGGTCAAATCACCCGTATTCATATTCAGAAGTCAGATGACGATGGTTGGGTTCGATTAAGAATGTTTGGAAGGATTGACAAGTTGGGCCTTCGACCTGAGAATGAGGTCAAGGATGAGGTGAGTGTACACGATTCACGTATGAACTTCACTTTAACCCAGGTCCCCAGCGCCACCTCTTTGTCACACGAGATAAAATGAACTTTCCGATCTCAAGCATTATTGGAATGTGTCATGTCTACGTGCGAGCAGCTGTGCCAGAGCTCAAAGAATGGCTCGAAACGTCGCCTTATCACTTCTATGCTTGCTACTCCTTCCCAAGCCTCGATGTGACCTCCTGGGATCACAAACACAAACTTCTGCCTAAAGATCTCCTAGTCTGCGGATACTGCGCTGCAGAGAACCTGGATGAATGGAAGAAAGTCAAGGAATTTTTGAAGAAGCAAAAACCCCTTCGTGCTTTAGACCCGTTCGCCGGGGCTGGAGCTTTCGGGTTGGGGTTGGAGGAATCCGGCTGCATCGAAGTTACACATGCGGTCGAAATTTCCCCGAGTGCCGCAAAGACCTTGAAGTGCGCATTTTGCTACTCGTTTCAGCGATACTAACAAGGAGTTAACAGAGCCAACTCTCCTAAAACGGTGGTGTATAACCAATGCAGCAATCTAGTACTCGCAGCAGCGATTAGATCACACACCAATCTTAACGTTCAACGATTGGAGACAATACAATCTGATATCACAGACGAGCCATACATTCCCGCCCCTCCGAAACCAGAGGAGATCGATTGTATCATTGCTGGGTTTCCCTGGTCGGTGATGGCGTATTTTCACACTCTATTTGGTCATACTGAAGCTGCACATTAGCCAGCCCCATTCGCGCCTGAACATGTACGTTAAGGCAAATGACCGCAAGAGCAACCTTATCCTCAACGTCCTATCATGGGTTGACTTTATGCAGCCAAAATACTGCTTCTTTGAGAACGTGCGTGGGTTTCTGTCGTTCGGTCTAAAGGTACGGCAAGCCGGGCCATATAGAGTTAAAGGGGGTATTGCCATGGGCGGATTGAAATTCTTGATCCGGGCGATGACTGACATGAAGTAAGTGTCGCTCAAATATCAAATATCTGTCTAGTATCATACTTCTCAGCTACCAAGTGCGCTATGGGATCCTACAAGCTGGTCACTACGGTACTCCTCAAACACGTGTGCGATTTTTTATGGTCGCGGCAAAGCACGGTCAACCCCTTCCTCAGCTCCCTCAACCTACGCATGCCTTCCCTACGGTGGACGCGCTGGGAATCGATTTGCCAATTGGACACCACATCAGACCTATTTGGACACAGCCTGGCTACGCGCCTCACCAATTTGTCAGTATTGACGATGCCATCAGTGACCTTCCTCGATTCGATTGGTACAGCCGTATTATCCTAACATGTGCTACGTCCACTCATTATTGGTTACAGGGTAAACCCGAGACCACCCAGGGATCCAGCCAAACGACGGGAAGAACGGGAACGCGCTCAGACGATCCCACCTAAGAAATGCAAGAAAGATCGCCCCTGGTGCGGATACTTTGGAGCGAATGTAGAGTACGAGCATGAGCCAATGACGGCATTCCAAAAGTGGTGTCGTGAAGAACCTTCTCAAGATCTGCAACAATATACGCGGACCTACGAGGCCATCAAAGTCGAGAGGTAAGTGACGTCCTCGCACAGTAGATGTTTTTAACTCGCGTAGAGTTGTCAGTATCCCGATGAGGGCGGGTGCAGACTATAGGGGTACGTGTCTTTTTTGCAGGACTTTACAATGTTGACGATAATTCAGAACTGGCGGGGCATCTCTGGGAGTGGCACTTCGCAAATCCATCTTCAGCCATTGCACGCACGGGTTTCAAACCAGGTACTCTACTCCCGATAAAGAGTTATTCGTGACGTTTGACTTATGGTGTATAGGTCTTTATGGACGAGTTAACAAGAACAGTTATTTTCAAGCTACTGTCACCAACGTTGATCCAAGTGCAAAGCAATCTCGTGTGCTCAACCCTTACGTGCGTCGTTGATTCCACTACAGTGCACCTAACCAAATGAGTACGAATCGCGCAGTGCAAACGCATTGTCACGGTGCGCGAACTCGCTCGGTCACAAGGCTTTCCCGATAAGTTTGTGTTCTATGCGGAATATGATCGTGTCATCACGGTGTGTGCTAGAACAACCCCCCTCCCACTGCGCACTGATCGAATAACATAGATGCATAGACAGATTGGTAATGCCGTGCCATGGCCAGTCGCGATGGCAATCGGCCGCGAGTTAAGGAAAGTGCTGGTGAAGAAATGGTGGAAAGAGCGGGAGGACGCCATAGTGGTTGACTGAGCTTGTGTGACGCTGACAATACAACCTAAGTATTATTAGCGAGTAAATGTAAGGTGTCCAGACTCCATACCGCACAATCGCAACCTGCACAACATATGTTGGCGATTTGATTAGCCGTCGGTAGCGTGATGCTCGTCATTGACGAGCTCATATCCTACCCACACAACCTCGGAACAACCCTCACAACCGACGAGGTGTCTTCCCGTATCCATGTCCTCTTCAATGATCCTGTATGTTCCACCACATCTACAAGAATGTGTCCATACACCCTCTTCTGCTTCCTCAAAATCTTCCAGTGAGATAACCTGTGCAGGACGCGGACCAGTGGAGGTCTTTACTCGAGTATTTCGAAGAATATTATCATAGGCTACGCGGGAGGACGCATTCGACAAGATGGTATATGCTTCTTTGAGGAGTGCGATGTCGACATCTACGGGTGGTATAGTAGATGAGAATGATCGTTTGTCTGGATGGGAAGCAAGAAGAGCCTTATGGTACGCTGATTTTATTGTGCTCAGCGGGGCATCGTATGTTATCCCAAGGAGCTGGTAGAAATCGATGTTGGGAAGGATATCCAGCTTGCTTGAAGGTGATGGTTTGTTGTATTTATTTACATAACGAGCTGATCAATTTGGTGATACGTGATGATTACCACACCTGTAAGTAAGGGTATCGATCTACGTAGGCAAGTCGAGCAAATGGGTCTCAAAATAAACGCAGGGACATGGTTAATGAGAGTAGGGTAAAATGACGTGGTGGTAGACCAAGATGAAATGAAACTAAGTAGAAAAATGGGCAATGTGACTGGTAGTATGAAATGTAACTACTAAACAGTCCAGTATTATTCCGAGTCCATCGTCTGTGTACATATCGACATTAAAGCAGATTCCCGTGAAATAAACAGGCTGTAAGCAGATGAGGCAAGTCTACATGATTGTGCAGTCTTTGTTGGTGGCTGCATTCTTGGCATCGGATCCGTCCCGCATGACTCCGCCTTGTTGTCCGATAGGTGGGCCCTTGAGCCGTTGTTGGGCACGCTTATCACCCAGTTCTGCGGCTTTCTTGAAATACGACATCGCTCTGCACGTATACATCGGTATCGAATTCGGGACCAAGACAAGATCACTCACTCTGGGAGGTCTGGCGGGGTACCAATCCCTACTTCCAAGAAGTACCCGACAGCGTACATCGCCTTTGCAAGTCCAGCATCTGCTGCTTTGCGTGCCCAGAGATATGCTTCTGTGTCGGATTGGGGTAGCACACCGGGTGAGCCGACTAAGTACCAGGCTGTGAGCGCGAAACATGCATCACGATGATTCTGCTGCGCTGCGATGTTCTGCGCAGATACATTAACTTTGGCGCGCTAATCGGTGAGGGAACCCACATAGTAATGGATTGACAAGGCTGGATCCTGGGGGCAACCTAACTTCCCATACTCATAACATTCCCCTAACCGGTAAGCGCTGGGAGCATACCCGAGTTCCGCCGCTTGTGCGAGTAGTTCCACGGTATACTCCACGTCAACAAACACAACGTTGTCTATCCCCCGTTCGTGCAGCAAGGCAAGCTCATGCAAGGCGTGCGGGAACTCGGCCGTTGCGTGCTCCGCAGAGCGTTTCAGCCATTTGACACCCTCGCGTGGCCGTTTTGAGAGTCCGAGCTCGCCATTAAGTTCAGCAATACCAAGACGGTACATAGCGCCAGGGTGAAGTGCTGCCCCGGCTTTGCGGAAGAATTGGAGAGCCTTGGCAGATTCGCGCCTGCAACCCCATCCATTCTCACAGCAAGTTCCTGCACGATATGCGGCATCTGGATGTCCGTGTTTTGCTGCGAGTACGAATAGTGGGTAAGCCCGATCAAAGTCTTGCCTGCTCTTGTAAGTGCCTAGACCATTGGCGTAGCAGTCTGCAAGGAAATATTGTGATGCTGGATGTCCCCGGTCTGCTTGGCGTTTGAGGAGGCTTGTGGCTTCATGCACAAGATTATCGCGCTTTTCGATTGCCTTTTCAATTTCCATTACATTTCCGGGAGTGGGAGCCGGGATGGGGAAAGATTTAGATGCATCAATCATGAATACTGCGAATTCGAATTGGATGTCTGGATCCTGTGTTTTCTTTGCATTTGCACGATATAGCTCGAGGGTACGCTCATAAGAAAGTAATGAGGCTTGGTTGCCTGGGCGGAGGTGAGAGTGATCTAAAAGGGGACCCTGGGACAGTTGTGATTGAGAATGAGACCGCTGAGGTGGGAAGGTTGTGCCGTTATTCTGTTGGGCACCATAAAACTCATCCGCAGCATCAAGTGATTGACCTGCGAGTCCCAAGGGTTGGTCATCGTCATCATAGTCTGGATCTACTGGCTGTTGTGGGGACTGGTAATGGTTCGGGGAGCCTTGAACACGGGGCTGGCGATGACGGCGCGGTGGCTCTGGGAGATAATCTGGTTGGTTTGCCGCATCATCCGCAGCATAGAACGAGTTTGGCCGTGACTGAGCGTGGGCGTACATTACTTAGTACGATGCGAAGAGTCGAGCTGATACTTAGATCAAGCTGTTCGATTGTCAAAAATGATGTTAGGCTGGAGCAGCGAAGCCTTCAGGATAGATTTAAACCCACTATTACCTGGTGAAAACGAGTTATGTGGTCGTTCCAAGGGCTGTACTGGTAACACTCTAGTTAATTATGGTACAAGAGGTAGGCACGGATTTGCCTACGGAGTGGCTGACTATTGGACCAATAACACCACACACGGTCGTCGCTGCAGCCGTCGATGAGGGGACTATTCACTATATCGTTCTCGGTGTAGTCTCTGACGTCGACGGAGTCGATCGCCAGTAAGGAGAGGCCTCAAGGCAGCTGCAAGGCTTGCAGTGGATAATAAAGAGAAGCAGACGATGAAATGAACTATGTAATATTACCGGTGTGAGCCGGTTCACATGATGTCGAATGCGGTGTCAGGTCTTCACCGACTCCGACAATCAGCCGCGGTCGTCCTCAACGTCTGGGACGACCAGCACAAACATCCATTGAGGTTTTTTAAAATCATGCAGTCATTGCGCACACGCAGGCCCTCTGAGACGCGCACCGTCAAACGCCAGGCGTCCAAACTCGATAAGAAACCTATCAATAAGAATGTTCGCAAGTCCACCGTCGATGACAAGATAAAGAAGCGCATGTCTCTGCGCTATGCAGAGATATCTGCGCCCACCGAAGCTTCTGTTCCGGATGTGCCGAGTGTTCCCATTGGGCTGCGTCCAGGTGCAGTGAGGGACCCAGATGAGCTTGTCTTGGAACGTGCCAGTATTAGAGAGGACCCGAAAGTTATAGATCAGAGGTTGCTGGACAAGGAAGACTTTGATCCAGACACTTGTGAGTACTGTACATTTGCAGTCTGTATATTCTTACGCGTTCGACATGCTATACAGATTTGAAGGCCAAATTGGCTAACTCGACCGAGGCAGAGCTCAGGTCTCTCCAGTCTTCACTCAGATCGTCCAAGGATGATACTGCTGTCGAACTACAGCGGAATGTGTTTAAAAAGTATCTCCAAATGTTCTGCCCCGTCGAATTCGCTAACCTTACTACAGTTATGCCGAATTCGTACATATTTCCAAAGAAATTTCTGTCCTCGAGAACGAAGTGCTCGAACTCAAAGAAAGTCTTTCTGAATGGAAGTCCATGCCGAGCCTTTTGCACATTGATGAGTCCGCCTCTGCTTCGGAGCGGCGGCGCAACGTTCGTTCATCCATCGCGGACCTTCGCGTGCTCTATGCGAATCAGATGCAGACACTGCACACTCAAATCGAGGGCTCTGCGAAATTTGCTCCAACAACGCCAGGCAGACATGTAATTTACGAAATGGACGGGATATATGCTCTCAACGCGGCAACTTACAGGGTTAGTAACACTGTCAAGTTTGTCGTACTGGATGATTCTGTGCTCGTCGCGAAGAGGAGGAGGAGGAACAACGGAGAAGGGGGACGGCTGGTGGCAGAGAGATGTTGGCCTTTGAATGAGATGTTAGTTTTGGATACGAAAGATACAGCAAGTGAGTGTGATTTGGATTGTAGAATGTATATGATGTCTGATCGACCTGGCAACTTGAAGCCATGACAAATGTCTTTAAAATTCGTCATCAAAAGGAGACATATGTTTACAGGACGGAGGCACCCTCTGATAAGAAGACACTGCTTGGACAGTTCCGCCAGGTTGCTGAAGAACTTGCAATCCGCAAACGTAGGGAGCGTGAAGGCGAGCACGAGCGACGTAAGAGCATGTGGACCAGTGGAGATGTCAGCTTTTATGCCTTAAGTGATTCATATTCGTTATCTGACATGATATTCTTAAGCAGCGCACCTCTATGACATTGCATCCTGATAAGGTGCCGCCCCTTCCTGACTGGATGGCTGAGCTTGCCCGCAAAGCGGGCGTTGACGGAGATACTAGCGCACGGGACAAATCTGAGAGCGATGCCCGCTTCATCAGTGATTTTTCGGACGACCTCACAGTCGCCATCGCTCTACGATCCTGGGAACGGGCCGTTCAGCTAGTGGAGGAAGGTCGAGCCAAAGTTTCTTCCATACCGTCATTGAGCGCCAAGCTCACTCCTCTTACGGCGAGCCTCACCTCAGCACTACTCGATGCACTCAGTGCGCCTGGGAACCGCAAGACTACTGCAGTGAGCCTCATTGGTCACTTGTTAAAGCTTGGACAAGGTCCAGCTGCGAGGTTGACATTCTTAAATGCACGAGCGGGGGCGGTGGACCGGTACGTTAGGGCCATTAGATTCGAAGGACATGTCGGGATGTATGTGCACGATTTGGCTTTGGTCGTGTTTACCGGGATCAAGCACACAGCAGATTGGTTCCTCGCAGGCTTTGTAGAGCATGATATGACTAGCAGTCAGTGATTCTTCGCATTTTTCATGCAAACCTCCTTACTGATAGGCACCAAGCTTTGATTGACTGGGCCAAGAAACAGATTGAGATGTATGCTGAAAGGTTCAGAAAGCAGGTCTATAGTTCCGATGTTGAACAACAGACTATCAAAGAAGCACTCAAAATCACACACAATCAGAGTCGCAAGGTTTGTCTATTATCTCTGCCATCAATTCATACTAATCTGTACCTCTGTCTTTCCATCTTCCTGTTTGTGTAACCCATCCACTTGCATACTACTCAGCTCCTGCAAGAATTTGGGCTTGACTTCCGCTATCTCCTTGACGAGCTTCTGGTCCAGGACCCACAGACCAACGACACCTGCGTTGTTTCCGCTACCTTCCATGCGCCTTCCCTAGCGCCCTCCATTTCACGCTCGCACACACCACAATCTACATTATCCTTTGTGTCTTCCTCAACGCCTACCATACCTCCAATTCCAATTCCACCTACCCCTGACTCGCCTGCTCGCCCTCCTACACGCTCTTCAACACCTCTGCGCCCAGTCAGGCAGATGCATGACTCCGATCCTTTGTCGAAATCTGTGCGGGATAGCCCAGCTCCTCCACCACGCTCGTCAGATCGTCCTGGGAACACTATCAGACCTCCTCCAGTCGCTATTCCACAAAGGGAAGGGATGTTTTGACCACGTATCCCGTTACTAGTTTTTGTTCAACTCCATTGGCTGTTCGTGGTAGGCATTTTACCGCCTGGGATGACAAGTACCAAAGTATGTGATTTCAACCTCCAACGCTCTGTCACGGATTAGTACCAGGGCTGGAAGAATGGATGCGACCCGGACTCAAATATTAATCTAGTGATCGCCTACGCCTTCCTCCCTCAGATACCGCTTGTTTCCTACTCTGGAGTCGGCATATCTATCCCTGATATGTTTTGCTAGCCTATACTCATTCAGACTTGTACTCGCATTCCCTATTCAGACTCCAGAATCTTTCAACCTCCATGACACGTCCTGAATACTGCTGCATAGCTAGCCTCCACCGAAGGGACTCATTGAATTGTGTATCTGCTCCGTGTTCAATTAGTTTGACTGAGGTTGCAGTGCCGCTGTCTGACTTTGGTCGAGGCTCGTGCCTATCAATGATTTGTGCGCCTGGGTCTCCACTTGAATCTTGCACAACCTCTCAATATTTTACGTCGACGTTTCTGATATCAATGTTGACGCTTGTCAGGTCCGTCTTTGGGAGGATGTCAAATCGGTTAATCTCAACTGCTCGCTGGTTCCTTAGATCTTCCAGCTAGCACGTAGATGCAAGGAGTGTGTGTATTATATATAACCAACGAATTACCATATCACCATGATGATGAAAGCAATAATGATAACGATAATCGCGATCGTGATAGTGGGAATGAATGAATATAGATGATAAAAAGAATGTGTGGGTGGGTAGAAAGAGTGGACAGTATGTTATGCCACAGAGAATAAAAAGAATGTGTATAGTGGGTGGAAAGAAAATACGTGAATGAGCGTGAGCAGATGCATACATGAAACAAAGAAGATAGTTGGTAGCAGAGCCTCTCCTAATATTCAGGGCCTTCGTCGTCGTCGTCGTCGTCGTCGTCATCATCATTTTCTTCTTCGGCAGTTGGGTAAAACGGCAGAGCGCCCATGATCTGTCGACTGTTCACAATTGCCCTTCTCGAAGTGCTTCTTGTAGGAATCACTTGTCGTATACCTAACCACAACAATATTAGTGATGAGACGCGCTGATATTGAGAGTTGGGATACGCACGCTTTGGAACAACCAGGGCATTTGAATTTCTGTAGTTTGAAGCCTAGGTGCCTTTGTGTCCTGATGTGCCTAAAATAGCTTGCAGGACTCCTGAGTAACATGCCGTCCTTAGAACACAAATATGACCCATTGGGTTCACCAAGTCGATTCAACACGGGTTTCTGTCCCAATGTTTGAGAATACGACCTCACGAGATGAAAAGGACACTCACAAATAACGGGTCGTTCTTGATTCCGCCGGAGCCTATTTTGGTTCGCTTGATGTAGTAGCGGTGATGATGATATTCCGCCATATGCTTTTGAATGAGCGAATCACTTGGTGCTTGAGAAGCAGAGTCCATTACGAGCCCAGGCCCGTGATATTGGTGGAAGTATCTTTGGTGCGGTATGTGTGGAACGCAAGGATTCGCGGCTGCTGGAAAAGATGGGAAGGGTTGATGGCACAGGGGGGGCGCAGGTGGGGTTTGCGGGGGAAGAGTAGCCGCAGTTGGCGGTGGGTATGAATCAACATAAGTGACAAGCGAGACATTGGCTACTGCACAAGGGCAATAGACATTTTGTCCCGTTTGGAACACGTGATGCGTAACTCCAGCACCTACACCAGGCGAATGTGCGACGGGTGCGTATGAGAGAGGGGCACCATGCATCCCGTTGAGTGGCACACCGTATGGGTAGTAGTGGTGTGCGGGGGCATGGCCTGGATAAGGAATACATGCGGGCTGGGGCCAGGGAAATTGACCCATATACATGCCAGTGCTTGGCATGTATTGTGTTGTATTGGAAGAATCGGAACCATGCGATGGGGAGGGATGGGGTGTGGATTGGATCATCTGGAGGCAAGAAGTAGATTTAGTCAGAAAGCGCAGGTGTTGAAGCTGGGGGATACACGTGCCTGGGCCAGCAGATAGTTGATAAGAGGGGGTGTACGAGTTCGCAGTGCCAGTAAGTGCAATGGGGAAGGGATAGAATGAGGGCCACCAAACCAATATTTATATGCTCATCCAGCGTCGCTTTGAAGTTGTCCTCTAGATGTGTATCCACTGTAGGGACCTTCCTTTGAGGGGACATTTCCTGTGGACCACCATTATTCACTAAATGGGACAATAGTCATGTTACTCGATGCGTCTAGCTTTGCATCCACGCTTGAGTTGTTCATTCTTGTTCTGTTGCAAGTCCGCAATGCAAAGACGAGAAGCATGTGGTGGATGAACTGTTGTTTGTGCC